CTATGTACTTATGGAGTCCATTGTCAGTGTGGTATGAAAAGAAAAAACTTCGAACCGCGTTGTAAAAAACCATTCAGCCGGTATCATCTTTAGAAACTGCGACTGAACAATAACAATAACAAGGCAATTATTATGTTAAGCTAATATCGCAATATCGGAAGCAATACAAATTGGTTTCAATTCTAATATTTCATTGGGCTTAACGCGACTAACATATTTTCTTGTAAGTCGATATGAATTGTCTTGAATAACATGTGGCAAGTGACGAACGTTATTCCAAGTTTAAAAAAAAAAATGATACAAATCCTGGTTGATAACATAACCTGAGTTATGTGCTTATTTCGGATGTTATCATAAAAAAAAAAAAGATAACGTCAAATTTCTCAACAGAAAAAAAATCGTATGATGATTTTAAACTTTAAATAGATAAATAAAACTTTTATTTATTAAAACCCGACCTACTCTGTGAACGTTAACAGTACCCGCCATAATAAATACAACAGAACGGTTTTGACATTAAAAAAAAAACCTGGATACCGCAATGGTTAAACCGTGGTCATTATATTATGTTCACTTAGATAACAATAATAATAAGTAATATGATAATATTAATGTGCGATAACAAACAAATTTCCAAGGTTTCCAATTTCAGCTACCGCGTTTATATAACCGTCGTTGCCACAAGGGTTACCACTGTTGATCATTTCGAGCACATTAATATGATCATTTATAATAAAACAATATTTATTGATAAAATTTACATTGATATGTTAGGTAATCAATCGATTTAGGCTGATTGATATTTGTATAAAGTTTTATTTGATATTGCTTAGTCCAATGTCGAATGGGGCACTGCATTGTAACCAGATTCAAAACTTTTATTAGTCCTATTAATATACTTAAGAGAAATACCGACATAACAATTATTAACTTTCTTTTTTACAAGTCATTAGATACAATTTCACTGTAATCTTCGTGTAAATACATAATAATTAAGCTATTATTCAGATTCTGATTATTCGTTGGTCCCTGGTGTCAGTACACTAATTATATAGGACAATTTGTACTTATGAAAACAAACTAATTACCATAATATAATTTATTAAACGGTAACCAAAGTTGTAGCAAAGTTGTTATTACTTGTGTAACTAACTCGAAATAACTTGCAACAGGACGGACGCCACGGTTGATGACTGCAACTTGGAATTTCATTACTAAGATTGGTATTTTACATTTAACCAAACACGACAAACTTTGAACACCGTTTAAGTTTAACATCTATACAGGGTGTAGCATTAAGGGGAAAAAACACTCGTTTTCTCCCTAAATAATAGCAATTTTGTAGTTTGACCTTTAAGACGATATCCAAATTTGTATCTTTTTTTTATTTCTAGCCTTTCTAGCCTGAGAACAATTTTCCGAAAACTATGGCAATCGGAGTACAAGTGTAAAATTGGCAATGACAATTTATGGCTATTAGTTGTCTACGACGGGTTGTTAATAGAAATGTACAGAACGTCTGTCGACCGGAATGAATGGTTCTCGGGGAACGTTTGAAACAACCGTATAAACACAGCATTGTTTTATTAGTGGATTTATTGATTTTCCAGAGCAACCGAGGTTTGCCCGGACAATTATTATATTATATTAAAGTGGTCGGTTAAGCGGTAAACAAAAAAAAAATGAAAGAAAACAAATCGATTTTTCCCCAGAGACCGGATTGCGTTCAAACAAGACACCCAAAATCTTAAGTAGCTTTAAGCGGCTTAGCCTTAAGTATCTGCTCCGCTGGTTGCGGTGTATAATATTATGTATCGTTTCATATTTAACAGCTCAATTTCATTAAAAATTCAGGGCAGGTCATGCACAAAACGACCGATTTTCAAAGCTCAACGTTTAAAACCTAAACCCAATGAACATAATATTACCAATCGTATACTAACGTAGAACAAAGTACATAAGGATCATTATAGGTGGATTAAGAAATCACGGCGGAATGTGTTTGAACTAATGGTACTCGGTGAACATTCTCATCTCGAGCCATTGTCGAGAATTGTCTACTTTTAAAATTAGCCGATTATTTTACTAAATACAATATACTATCATAAATACTGCGCCGAGCTGGCTAAAGGTAAATGACATTTTTTCATTTATCATAACCAAAAATTTTGAATTTTAATTACAAGATGTTAAAACACTAAAAAAAAAAATTGTTAAACTTACCACACTTGATCTCACATTGTTATCGATATACAAAAAAATTATTTCAAAATGCAACTAAAAAGAAATAATAACATTTAAAAAGGAACTGTAACCGTCTTTCATTTACGTTTCTCATAAACAATGAGTAATTTTCATATAAATTGTAACCCTTATGATCAAATCGATTGACTTGTCCAAACCGGGTAGTAATATCGCCAAAAGCTCAAGTAACATACTGCAAAGCACTCAACAAAAAAAGTATAACGCCGACAGTGTAGCCACATAAATTAGTATGAATTATCGTGCAGATATTTTACAATATTATTATTGTACAAACTCCTTATCAACGATACGATTCAAATGATAACTGACTGCATTATCACAGAATGGACGATTTTTTTTTTTAAATCTAATCTGTGGTATAATTATGAAATTTTATCCTCGAATGTGCGGTCACACTGATTTCCTTTTGGGTCACGGTTTTTGTTTACACGACTAATAAGTTATCTGTTTTCATATAATCTGTGATATAGAGTCAATGGCGTCATGAGACATTTTTAGCTTCGATGAGAAGGTATTGTATTTGCAATGATGTGTTTTTATTTTTGTGTCTGTGCCCACGATATCTTTAAAGCCACTGAACCGATTTCTTCTGTGCTGCAGCTCTTAAGATCAGAAATCGTACCTGTAAGGTACTTTTTTTATTTCTTTCGCTTTTTCATGCAAAGTTTATTTTGAGGTTTAGGTATGAAAATTAGATCAAAGGCAGATCTAAAATGGGGCTATAACATAATATACAATTTCCTCGAAAATCTGTAGTCAAACATTTTTTTTTATTAAACCAAAAAATAGGGAAATATTACACTTTGACCGAAGTCGGTTTTTAGATTGCTATGTGTGGTTTATCACTTTCGGTTATATTATAAATTTCTGTAGACCTGTGTAGACCTTTCCATCCCCACTACCCACCCTCGACCCCACTGTACTAGGGTTGTTTCTTTTGAGACGGCTTGGTGGCGTAGACAACGATAATAATTATTATTCATGGTCTATCGTTTCTGTAAAGGATTTTTTTGTTGCCGTTTCTTTTCTTTTTGTGGTCTCCTTTTGTTTTCCGCACGTCCCAGAAGTTAGAGGTATGCGTCGTTGGCATTTCCAACCGCATCCTTAGCTGTACAAGTATGCTTTGGGACCGAAGGAGTAGAAGGATATTGCCTCTTTGAATTATCGCTTTTGGAAACATTGATTTTTTGTCACCCCTCCCCCCCCCTCCGGAGCAGCATATTTGTATTTTATGCACACAAAAGGATCAGGTCAATACGGTTTTCTCGGCACACTAGATTATATTCACCCGAAGGGAACGTCGAGATAAATTGAAACTAATAAATATAAATTGTTGTTTTTGCCCGTGTCTGACCGTATCAAGTTTGCGAGGCGAACGCGGTGGAGTTTATATTGAAATCTTATCTCGTTCCTTGACAACACACCCTTTTGAAATCGGCACGCAAAATTGAAATTCGATCCGCTATGAAACTGACAAGTCCGGAAAGAGATCCTAATCATCTCAGTGGACTGGTGGTGTTATCATAGTCAAAACAATCTTCAGCTGTAGCTATGTTGTTGGGTGAATGGCAGCAACCGATTCGGTGACTTTGTAATTTTCAAGTTACCTAGGTTTAAAAAAATAATTTACCCATCTCTGAATAAGTATTAACACATCAAGCAACGCGAACTATGGGTTGCGAGGAACGATTTAAACGAGTTCTTTTCTTCTTCTAAATCCGCTTGTACATTTTTCGATCCTCTCCGCGTTTTTGTGAGCATTAGGCGACGCCGGATTTTCACGGTTCTCGTTGTAATGTTGTCGAGTCATCCAAAGTTGGTTCGATTCATTTAATTTAATCAGTACCGTACTATGGCAATGCTTGTCAAAGTGTCAATTACAAACAATGAGCATTGGCTTAACGTTGGTCCGGGAGCGATTGAGCATAACCTATTTGTTTTTAGTTTCGATGCGTATCCGAGTAGGTATTTTTCTCACAACGATGCGTTTTGTTTTTTATTTTATTTGTTTATCTGCAGTTTATAGATCAGAAATATTGTCCAAAAGTATAAGGTAAAATGTGAAAAAAATTCATCCACATAAATCGACTCTTGTTTTTATTTTCTATTTGTTAGTATTCATATATTTTTCCATGACAAATTTAACATTTTTTTTTTTTGTTTGGGAATATTCATATAAGTTTGTTACAATATTTAAAAAATTTCAATCTACCAGTCAAGTGTTCAGTAGATTTTTATGCGCTTAAAAATATACTTAAATACCTAGGTATGTTACCGTTTAACTGAAGAACACTCCAAAGTTCAAATGACGCGATTATAAGCACATCTATGTGAAAAAATGATTTGTGTTCAATCATTTTTACCATTTACAGTTGAACGTTTGTTTTTATAACTTTTAGCTGTAATGATTCCTGAAGACTTTCGATCTTTTTGACTACAATAAGCTCCGTCCGCACTATTGGGGTCTACTATGGGATCGCGTTGGCTATTTTTTATTTAGAACCATTGTGATTGCGAGTGAGATCGGATTTGGGCAAATCCGAAACAGATTCGATTAAAACAATAATTTGAATACACAATCATTCCCCCGTTTGTGACAAACGAGTGTGGCTTAGGGATGTATATTTTTTGCTAACGTTGTAGATTTTTCCTTTGTCCCTTTTTTTTTTTATTATTATTATTATTGACTCAGCAGCCTCTTTTGATTACACGGTTACTGTGTGGTTTTTTTCCAGCTCCAATGCCGAAACGATACAAGACAACCAAGGGAGCTAAGCCCAAAGGAGTGGCCAACCGTAACCGAGCTCTAAGCTGGATACGCGAGAACGCCAACGACGGTATCATGTATTTCGCTGACGACGACAACACATACGACGTCAGGCTTTTCAACGAGGTAAGCGTTTTTCTTTTTCTTTTCCTGCCCATTTATTTCTTTATCTTTTGACATACGGTCACGGCGATTGTCTCTGAAAATATGTCGGGCCCGGCTCGCGTTTAATCGCTGTAGGCTGTAAGGGGATTGACATTAGGTTAATGAACTAAGGTTTACGTTATCGTTGAACAAATTTACCGTATTTGCTTGATAAAAATCATAAACGAACCGTAGAAAACGAGATAAAAAAAAAATAACGCGTTTAACGCGAAGTCGAACAGTCAGTTAACTTGTTTTGAAATAAATTTAATATATTTATCCAGATTCAGATTTTTTTAATTAAAATAAAATACAATCTGTATAAAATATACAATAAGTATTTGAAAAAAAAACTCATATATACAAAACTTGAATAACTTGGGGAGAGACCGCCCAGTGGCGGAACTCCTATTGACATGAGTACTTGAACTAAATTACAATTACATATTTTATATTAAATTGTTGGGAAAATTACAATTACAGACATATTTACACTTATTATTTATTATTGAAAAAGGTCTCTACACCAGGATCTTTTTAGGCGACGTGGAGGGTTATCTGGAGATAGCAGTTTGTTTTACAGGAGGAAGGCGAAGGTCTTTGTGTATTGTTTCGTTTGAGATATAAGGTGGGGTGTTAAGAATTCAGTGAAGGCACTTTGATTGGAGAACTTGAATTTTTTTAATGTTTAATTTTTTTGCTGCACCCCATAGCTCAATACCATAAGACCACATTGGTTTGATAAAGCTTTTGTATATTACGAGTTTAGTGTGCAAGTTAGTTTAGGCATTTTTATGGAGTAGAGGTTGGAGTGTTCTAAGACGTTGGTTCACACTTATTATTTTGGCATGAATGTGGTGCGCCCAGTTAAGTTTAATAAATCTCCAAACGTTTGTACTTAATGGATACTTTTAAGTATTACTTTATTCTGTATTTAATGCAAAAGGCAATGTTTTATTGGTATTTTTAACGTAATTTCGATTTTTAATAATAATCCAAAATGGATTTGAAACAAAAGCTAGTATCTTCATCAGTCTTTTTACCAATAGTGAATAGTGTCGTGTAACTTTTGAGTTTTGAGTTAATTATACGTTTATAATTTTAATTAATTTTCTTATTAATACTGTTATAGAATAGTTTTTATTTATCTATGATTTTATGTTGTCAATAAATTAGACTAGATTCTAGACAAAAAACAAATGATTAATTGGTTTTCAAATTTTTGGCCATCCGAACAAAACAGTTGAATATTTCTATCTGAAAATAAATATTGTACTCTGTACCCGTCGATATTATGAATCGTCAATCACTCTACATGACACTATACATATTTTCGGTTAGGATGAATAACAACTCACAAAATTACCTTGTCAACATTAGTACCATTAGTTCAGATTGAAAAAAAAAATGCTAATTACCAAAATAATTGCATGCAAAAGTATGTTACCTAATATGCCCTAAGATTTTGTTTCTATTAGAATACAAAAATTGTGATTGACTCCTCAAAAAAAATCTGACCAAAATCAACTATTGTAAGCCTCCGTTTCGAAAATATATATTATAATACAATATATAATTATTATAATATAGTATATTTTTTCTCGGTTATTTTTTACTTTTTATGAGAGCTATTTATTTTTATGTAGATGCAATATGTTTTTATTTCGTTCAGAATCCATCACCGGCAAGGATATAGCTACACCTAAAAAAAAAAAAAAAAGGAATATACCCAATAGTCTCTCACAGTGACAGATGATGGCGATACGACATAACCAGGATAAATTGGCTTAATAAAAAAAAACACACACAATACGTCGTAAGAGCATTATGTTATTTTTCCGTCTGCCTTAACAGGAAGAAAACGATTTTCCTTTGAACTGAACGCGTCTCCCGTTGTGTATTATAAGAAATGCAATCCGTCAAACGCACTCTTGTGTGTACACACACACACACACACAATATATAGATTGTATACACAGTGATCAATTTAACGTGATAGGTACGTCCAAAGAACGTCTGGGAAAATAATCGAAACTTTGTAGCTTTTTCATTTTGAAAAAACATTTTCATTCGACTGATAGTTCACCAGTTTTAGAAGAATATTTGAGTTATTTCCATTTAAATGTAAATGCGTATAAAGTCTATCTGGTAGACTGTAATGGTATAGTACATATTCACGAGTACCACTCACCTGCACTCCCTCGTCCAAATTTCAAACGCTAATTACTCAAAACGTATTCATTCAAAAATGGCTATCGACCAGTCATTATTTTCATTCCCCCGTTCTGCTTTCAATAGATAACATATTAAAATTTTATCTATGCTGCTACACTATGCTTTAACCCAATTACCATTTGCAAACCACCCGTCAAGTTAATATTTTTTACTTGACTTTTTTTTAGCTTACTTAACATCGTTTCAATGCAAATCTTTGGATTTGCCCGTGAGATTTTTTTCCTTTTAAAGTCAGAGTGTATCGAGTTGAGTCGATCACCGTGTACTGTTTTCGAAAAGCCCACACCACTGGGGCGGGCTTTGCGCCCAGACCATTAGTAATCGTCTCCTTTGCCTTTTTATATGTCCATCTAATTCCGGTGTTTTTTTTTTTTGTTGTTCAATATAGATGCGTTACACGCAGAAGGTATCCATGTGGCCAGTGGGACTGTGCACCAAGACTGGACTGAGCACGCCAATCGTGGAAAACGGCAACCTGGTCGGTTTCTACGACGGTTGGATAGCCGGCCGGAAGTTCCCGGTCGACATGGCAGGGTTCGCAGTCAGTGTAAAGTTCTTGCAGGAAGTAAGTGCATATCATAAGTTATAACGTAGCTATTAAGATGCCGCAGCACATATCTCAACTTTGCAGGATAAAAATCAATAAAATTACCATCCAAATAAATATTATAACCACAGACTATATGAAAACAGATAGAAAAACTATAAAAATACTGATTATGGTCTCGCGACCATATCAGTGTATCCGCATGAATTATTACCTATACATATTATTGTACAAAATCCAAATGGCCAACTTGATCTGGTAAAAAAAAAATGAGATATGAGGTGTTGCATCTTTTATTTATCACTACTACACCTGCAATTACAATTGTAGAGAAAAAAAATGTATTTTGTAATTTTAAATTTCATGAAAACGATAAAGTCGATAAAAATACTATATATTTTGTTAAAAATTGGAAAAAATGTTGTTGAAAAAAAAGAAAATTACAAAATATATACTTTAAGTATAGGCAAATAACTTTTTGTTTTTCAACAAAACTATTACATAATTTGCATCTATATGTATAACACTTTTTAAAAAAAAATTATTTTTAATAGTAAATAAATGAATATACTGCCACTCTCGACCATAAGTTGCTTAAAGATTTTTCTAGATTATTTTAAATAATTTATTCGCTTCGATTATTGTAAAGATCAAATCTAACTTTGAATTATGTGTCGTACTTTAGATACTAAAAAAAATTTTCAAATGTATAGTTTAAAAAATCTCAGCTCTAGAAAAACATGACTAATACTAGGTCACTAGGTAAACGAATAGTTTTATCTCTTTAGGTAAACAAGAAAAAGTCGTTCGAATGATACTATTAATTTTTTTGAATCTGTTGACAAATCCTTTTGACCCATCTAATGAATAATTATAATGCTTTACAATACTATTTTTTTCAATATTTACCGAATAAGTATAAATAAATATTCACGTGTAATATTCCTTTGACGTTTTTCCAAAAGAGGCAAATAAAAAATATAATCGTTTATCTTGAAACTTGAGTGTTTTTTTTTTTTTACTACAATTCATTCCTCGAAATTCGGTCAGGAGAGAAAAGAGGATAAGAGGATTTAAAGCTGGCAGTTTTTTATTGCGGTGAACAAAAAAAAAGGTTTTCGATACGATTTATATCTGTTGTTGGTTCAAAACGTTTCAAAGTGGTGTGCAAAAATAAAAATAAAAAAACCCCAGAATCCGCAATTTTTTGTTTTTTTTTTATACCGTTATGCTTACTTTATATATTAAAGATGTACAAACAACAGAGAGAGTGGCGATAAGAGCGGACAAAACAAGCTATACCGTTTTATGAGTAAAAAAAATAGAACATAAATTTTTATTCATCTCATAAATAAAATTCCTCGCAGAAAATGTCTTAAATGGTGAACTTAAATAACTTTTAAAGTAACTATCCAAGAGTTGGCTATCGACCAATGAATATGATCAACAAATTATTCTTAATTTAAAAGCAAATATTAACCTAGATGCGTTATTATATTTTTTAAGCTTTAAAAGTCAATAGAGCTGTGAAAAATACTGAAAAAGGAGGGTTATTTAGTAGTTTTATGATACTTTTAAATAACATAAACACACATTTTTTCTTCACAAAGAAACACTGGAAAATCGCTATCATTTTAAGAAGAGATATTGATTGTGTTTTACTTATAGTTATTAATCGCCCAGGCACAATTTTTTTAACTTTATTCATTTGTTCGATTAAACATTTTTTTTTTTTTAACGTTTAAATTCTACTCGAACCGTTCTAAACTGCATTTTTCTATAGTACGGTGGTGTAACTTTTTTAGTGAATAAATTCACGCATCGCACACTCAATGTTGTTTCCCGGCCAAAGCCATTACCACCGTTTTTGTTTACACCCGACACACACCTTAATGGAATTCCAAGAGTGGAAGTTTAAACGCAGATAGTGCTGGCACAGTCAAACGGTAATGTGTAATATAAACCGTGTTTGATCACTGAGAAACTATGCAAACAATAAATAATTAGATAAAGCTATTTGCATTTCAATTATATTTACCGCAGGCGCTAGTGTTATTTGCCGCGGGTAAACGCTTTGAACCTTACTGTTATCTTGTGATATAATAAACGGCTCTGAAATTTTTAAAAGCGTTGACGGGGAGATTTGGTTTTGAATTTATTGCCAGCAGCATTAGGAACGGTGGTATTTGCGAATGGTTTTTTTTTTGTCCGTTCACTAGTTGAACATTTCCAAAAACGTAACCGAACAGAATATTGTATTTGCATGGTAATTTATGTTTGTTTGTTTTTTTGAAAATATTTTTTAGAGACCACACGCTAGGATGCCGTACAAACCGGGGTTCGAAGAAGACGGATTTTTGAGGAGCCTAAGTCCTTTCGAGCCCAGAGAAATAGAACTGAAAGCGGACAATTGTACCAAAGTAAGTTTTCAACGAATACCTGTAAACAACAGCTCTTGCAATAGGTACTTTCAGACGTTATTTTCGGTGATAGTCGCTTGTTCGTTGCCAAGTGTATCTCCCCAATAATTATCTAGACAATACGTTACATTGATTCTAAAGTGTTGTACAGTATTACAATATTTGCAAAGTATTTGTATAATTGCCAACAGAATACTATACAGTATTGTTTTACCAGACATTTTACATGCTACAATTAAGGGGATTGCACGTGGTCAGATTTGTGAGAACAGAAGACATCCATGAAAGCTTCGACACACTCATACAGTGTTCATCAATTGTTTAAACACATTTTTTCCAAACAATTGGTATATGTAAGACATCATTGCATTTCTGGCCAAAATATTAATTTGCTGTCAACAGCTGTAGTTTGATAAACATCACTTACTTTTGCGTCCGTGTTGTACACCAACTGGAGTGAGATTTGTTTGTCTGAGCTTCGTTTGATCGCTATGCCAAAGAATCCAATTGCATCATCCAAATCGCCCAAGAAGAAGAAACCGAAAAGGTCAAAGGTCTCGGATGGGGCCCGAAAGTCTAAACCGTTGTGTCCACGAACCATGGTCAGGTACGTCAACGTGAGCGGCTACGAATCTATATGGACGTGTAAAGTTTGCTTGACGGCTTTGCTGAGTGAAAACGCAGTCCGACAACATATTTTGTTCAAATCAAAGAAACCATACCGAGTGGTTGGAACCGGAGACGGTCGAAATGAACTCTGATAGTATGAAATCCAAAGGTGCCAAGTGAAACCGGCAAGAGTAGTCGATATTACTTCATTTGAATGTAATCATATTTGCTTTATTGTTTTTGTATGTATCCCATAAGTATCGAAGTCATTAATTCTTATTAGTTACACATTACAAACATTGATTACGTTATATTATACTGCATTAAGGCGGTCCTTATATTGGTTGGATTTTTGTCAAATTCCCACATCCAATAGTTATATTATTGTAGACAAATATACAACTTGGCACAAGTTCCACATAATTAAGCTTACTACCAGTGTGAAATGTGGGACAAAACCAAACATATTGTGAATAATAATTATTATCCTAGTATAGTACACTCAATATTGTCCAGTTATGAATAAAAACTTGATATGCAAACAAAAAGACTTGGAGGATGAAATAATAACCTGCAAAAAAATAAAGAAATGCCTATTTGGAGCAGAATGACGGCCATCCATGTCTCATTTAAGTACCACACCGATGTAATACTTATATGATGATCACTATTGTAAAACATTTTAATTGTTTTATTACAATATATCCAATTATTCGAGTCGATTTGCTCGAGTTAACGATATGTATATTATATAACTACATAAAACGAAATGTATTGTTTCAAAAACGTTGTTTAAACACTGAAAAGATGTTCAAAGTATTCATACAACATTTTGCAAATTATATGCTTGAAACATTTTATATGAAAAATCAAAAACAGTCAATCTTAAACAATTAAACATAGTTTTTTTTTTAAAAGATCTAAAATGAGCTTGTGATTTTTCTAGTACTATTTATTTTAGACAATCTATCTAAAAAATGTTATAAACATTTTTAAAAACGTCGTCAAACGCGTTGTGGAAACAGTCCATTACGCTTAAGCAATTTGGAATTTTATAATAAAAAAAAATTAAGAGTATCCACACTTCATGCAGATACATCAATACGTGGATATATCCTGCAATCTAGTATCTCTAATCTATTTTCTCTAATCCACTATCTCTATTAATTCACCTCCATAATCCTCCTCCGTGTAAAATGTTATATTTACAAAAAGCCAAAAATCTAATTGAAAAAAATGTTTCAACAAGTGTTAAGTACTTCCAGATCACTATGTATTAGATAATGTATAGATACTGTGTGTTATACAGGTTAAAGTATAGAGTGACTTCAAATCATAACGTTGAGTCAATTTTTTTTAGATAAAATTTCCCTAATACTTTCATTATTATAATAAGATAATTTACAAAACAACATGTTTCACTCACTTCTGTATTATATTGCATTCAATATGCATAATTCAAATAATATCTATTTTTTTTTTTTGTATCATTGATTTACTTATAGAACCTGAGTTTTTGTATTTATCTCTTTGTGTTGTTTTCACCGTATACAAATATTCCAAAAGTTACTCTCGCATTATAAAGTAGACTATAATAATATGTTCTGTGTTTTCGGGAAAAAGACCTTCATTGGCTGATTGATGAGGGTCAGGTGTTAAAGGATGATTTATCGAAAAGGGATGATTTTTTAAAGAGTAGGCCACACGTCCTATTTATTAAGACATTCGTTGTAGGCAATTTCGGGTATAAAACCTAACTTGGAACTAAAATTTAGCATGTTTTATTCGTAATGTAATGAGCAATATTTAGGGTAGTTTATTTTAACATATAATTCGTTATGGCCATCGTATTCCCCCGAAAAAGATTGCTTTGACAAAGCGACACAATAAATGGAAATGAGGGAAATCAGTTGATATAAAAAAAGTGTCACAAAGTATAAGGTGTCTCAAAAAGAACGCTGGATTTAAATCTGCTATAAATGAAATTGATTTCTCTTAAAAAAACACAAAACAAGTATATCATTCTCTTCAGGAGAAGTTCAAGTTTAACAGTGAAAAACAATATCGAGCATATGAGCCCCTTACTAGTCCTACAGGCGATTATTCTTTCCATACAATTTACCATCACTCGATGCAAAGCGCATTATTTTCACCGAAGCTCATTTCCATTTAAACGGGTTCGTAAACAAGCAGGTTTGTCGAATATGGGGATCTGAGAGCCCAAGAGTGATCCAAGAAAAAGAAATGCATCCTCAAAGAGTTACGGTTTGGAGTAGGGGTTTTGATCGGTCCTTACTATTTCGGAAACGAAGAAGGAAATGCTGTTGCAGTGAATGGGGTTCGTTACCGTGCTATGCTCAGTAATTTTCTTTGGCCTTTGATTTTTTCTTATGGGGATACACTAAGTCGCGAGTTTACCAGAACAAAGTCCGAAATTTTTTGGAACTTAAGCAACAAATTCGTAGTGTCCTCAACGAACTTGATGGGGCAATGTGTGATCGAGTGACGGTAAATTTTATGGAAAGAATAACCGCCTGTAGGGCTAGTAGGGGGTCATATGCCCGATATTGTTTTTCACTGTTAAACCTAAACTTCTCCTGAAGAGAATGATATATTTGTTGTGTTTTTTTAAGAGAAATCAATTTCATTTATAGCAGATTTAAATCCGGCGTTCTTTTTGAGACACCCTATATTGTAAGTGATTGGGTCAAATCGACGAGAGAGACGACAGTGCTAATAACGATGAGCGAGGCGAACAGTGCTCTCCCAGCAAAAGTTTTAGTTTTTCATTTTTATGTAAACTTTATGTTGTATAAAACATTTAAATTTCGTGTCAAAACTTAATTATAACTTATTTAAATGTATTTTTTTTTTTATATTTACAGATATTGGTGTGGCACACGCAGACGAAGAAAAACGAACCGTCGTCGAGAGTGGACGTTGTCAAGTATAAAAACACGAATATTATCGACTTGAAGAGGATCATCGTTTGATGTTTGCATCATGTCAATATTGTACAGTGTGTGTTTTGCTGATTTGTTTTTCATACTGAAAAAGGCGCACAAAAGGGCGAAACCAAAAGTCGCCGGCGATCGCCCCACGTCGAGACGACCAGTTCTACTATTTGGATTTGCTCAAACGCATAATATTTAATAATTGTATTGCCTGATTTATTTCAAACCGAGCATTATTACTCTTAGTTTTTAATTTCTATTATTATTATTATTAACGTATCGTTTGTTGTTTCTTTTTACTTCTGCGCTATCTATACTGTGAATACTGTTAATATTTCGATAATATGAGCCGCTCAGAAGCCAAACTGATTATCTCCATAAAATGCAACTTTTTGATCAGGACAGGCAGTTAAAGTTATTTGAAACAATGTATGTAAGTACAATTGCCAATTTTCTTGGCGCACTCTAGTGGTGAAACATCCAACTATGGAGTTATTTTTATCTTGGCCACTGAAAATTATACACTTTTTTTTATCCAACCATGCTAAGTGGAGTTAATCGGTTTGGCATCTGAGCGCCTCATATAATACCTAATTATTATACCTACCTACTTATACCATCGCCACATGCATTGTGTACACACTCATGTCTGATTTCGACTTATATACGTATATTGTATACACACGGATACCAACCGCTTTGGATGTTGTTTTTTTTTTTTTAATAATTATTAATATTTTAATATTGTAATACATAGTTTTTTTTTTTGTATTATTTTTCGTTGGTCTCAAGCTAGTCAACCGCCGGAAATGTGTACACTGTCACTAGAAAGTCATAGAAATCGACTGCATTTTCAGTGTGTCCAACCCACTGAACTCAAGTCATGTTGTTTGCAAATTCGTGGGAAATAGAAATCCTACGTTAATTTTCCACGATAAAATATATTAAAATGTCATCTCTAAAAATATTCAAATCGGCCAATTCTTATAACCCGGTCTGGTATTTCCCAACACGGAAAAGCATTTTTTCCCCCAATATGGCCGCCACCTGCGTGATGTTTGACACATTAATCAGTGTGTCCAACCCAAAAAATAATAATAATCAATCAATCAAATCAAATCGGATTCTGTTTTGTTTACGAGCCGAACGATATAATATTATTTTATTGAATTTTTTTTTTTGTGTGATCAAACGACTGAGTATAAGTTCGGCAAGCTTTTTGAAATATCGATCAAAATATATTATTATATATTCTATTTATAGTCGTATAGATCGTTCGAAAACGTTTTTTTTTTTTTTTTAGTGTTATTACTATTTTATTTTCATTTATGTTGACCGTTCACGTTTTGCACATTTTTCACTGATAAAGTAATGAACGTGTCCACGTGGATTGCTGGAACCTATTTATTTAAAAACACCTGTAAAAGTCACCGTGATATAATACAATGTTATTACAAAACTTATTATAACTTACAATATTACTTTGAGATTCTACTCTACCCTCAGAATCTCATTGTTATCCATACCGTTTTGTCGGTAATTTTCAAGGACATATCCAACGTATACGTGTTGAATCATATCACATTGAAACCCCCAAATAATAATGATATTATTATTATTGCTATTAACTATCATGGTAGTTGTGTAAATCATACCATATATTATTGAACAGTTTATTGTGCCCATGTTTGTTGCATAATAATTAATTATAGATTATTATCATTAAGTTAAATAATATTATACTATAGTAGTTTGTTCAACGTAGTCCGTACCCAATTTTTTTTTCTTCGTGTAATTAGTGCAATTATTTACTGTAGTTAAATATCTTTAGAGTTACTCTTAGGCCTCTTGGCCGATACGCTAACCCAATACGTTTAATCGATTATCATTCTTTTTTTTTTGTTCTTTTTAAGTATGTCTCACCAGAATGAAAAAATATGTATACCTACACAACCGTCATCCACGTGACGTTTTAAAAATGGCACTCGGATCATCATAAACAGTTTATATTATTATTTCCCTACTGTCACGACGTATTGATTTTGATTTGTTTTTTGTTATAAAACCGAGCAAGAGAAAAAAAAATACATTTAGAAAACAGGGTGCCATAAAATAACTGTAAACCATTAAGCAACTGGGTAGAACCGTTTCAAGTGTGATAATCTTATGACGGCCTGGCCAATTACCTCTGTCTGTATCTGCTGTGGAATAATATTATTATAACGTTTACAAGATGAGTTGTTTATTTTTATTCTCCTTTTTTTTTTTTTTTTTATAGATCTGTGATCTCGTCTTATATAGAGTATACTTATACCGATCAACAACACTTTGTTGTTGCATAATGAAACGCACAATAATTTTAATTACTTAATCTAAAATATATATGTGTCATAATAAAATTACAAAAAAAAAATATTTATATAATACAGTTTTAAATTAAGGAAACCGATATTTTACATTTTTTTTTAAATAATTCCCTATTGCTGCAGCACCTACAATTAAATCAAATCTCTTCGCTTACTTATTCATTTTCAATTGAAATCAATTTATCTAATATTATAATAACAATTATAGTATTAGTAATGTAATTCACGTTCACCCAAAAGGATAATGCTCAAATGTAATGTGTTATATTTATGTACTAGCCCATCTTAATCAAAAACGTATTTAACGGTCAAAAAAACTTACTAATAATTTTTACAGTAACTATACTGTGAAAAAAAAAAGCATTTGTTAATACATTAGACCTATACAATTATTATCTGATACTATTATGTCTGTATGAACTATCAATGATGTAATACCTAATTATTATATTATTATGTACTAAACTATTTTATCAATGTAATAACAAATATTGTGAACGGAAACACTTTTGTAAAAAAAAATTTTTTTTAAAAAATTGATTAATATTTGTTTTGTTTTTACGAACAAACATTTTGTTAATGCTACACAAACGGCTAATGTTTCCTTTAGTTTGGAGTTAAGTACTTATTTTGTAATAACCGTCAAATTTAAATTACAGAAATAAAAAAACCATTATTAAACTTCCACTCGATTGGTCGGACGATTGTATGTGCGTTTTTAGTTTTGATTATTACCTATAATATTACCTATCTGTGTACCTACCGCCTATGTTATAATCTAGTAAAAGGATTAAAAAGGGTTGTCTATTGATACAACAAGCTCCTAATAATCTTTAAAATACATTTTGAGTAGGTATCACATTGAATGGTAGAGTTTAGCGAAGATTATCAGACGCTAACAGACAGTTTTTGATTTGCATTCTCAACTCGACTAGTTTTTTTAAAAAATATATCAAAGTTACATTGAAAATTGTATTTCCATTAAAAAGTACACAATACAATTCTTCCAAATATCAGGTTTGCATATGTTATACTAATTGTGTACCGCTTATAAAAAAAAAACTCCATAATTAAGTTCCCGGACAAAAAAAATGTTCTTAATTAAATATTTTCAAAATGGTAAACAAAAATAATAAAAAATGATATTATGGTCGGCATAAAAATTTTGTTATTTCATAATAAAAGAAATATGCAATGACTTTAAAACTGAAAATATATAATTATTTTTCAAACTACTTAAAAATAATCTTCGTTAATTTGGTTATCATTTTACAATAAGTAACTTTGCATTTTTTTTTTAATTAACACAATTTAAACTTATTTAAACTGTGGAACAGTTTTTATCTGAAAATTATATTAAAACGAATCATAACAATCTATTTAAGTAATTTATAAAATACTATCGGCACGGGCAATTTGTATAAATTACAAAACTTCATTGAAATAAAAAATAAATTGTAAATTTTGTTTATAAGTTGAAGTTTTATTTTACTTGCTTATACTCTGTTATAACCGGCCTTCTTATCATTTGAATAATAAATGATTATTATTATTTAAAGAAAATGATTTTTTGATGAGCAAATATTAATAGGTGCGTTAATTAAAAATAATAAAAAGTGCTTTTGATTTTTAACAAACATATCTAATTATTTGAATAGTAAAGATAGACTAGGCTTTGTTTACATAAACCTGCTGGGTAATCACATGACTGTTATCTATATTATTGCGTTATTTAATCGTTTTTAACAAGCGAGGTGCAAATCTCTGATTGTAAAACTAAAACACGGTATTGTGCCTAGTGCAAATGTTAAGTACAGTTAAGTAGGTACTCAAATGTATTGTTGTTCATCATTTTTGCTAACAGTTGTTGTGTAATTTTTTTTAACGTGTCAAGTGTTTTCGACTTTTCATGATAGTTAAAAACATAAGCACACGACCAGAATACTAACAGTTATAGTCATCAATTTGTTTGGTCTTTATTTATTTTTTAATTTAATTTAATTAATATTTTATTTTGTAGCTGTTTCAAGAAAGTGCCTAAAAAAATTATCAATATTTTTCATATCTTATCCAACATTATACTAGAATACTGTGAAACAATATTAAAATCCCTGAATTCAAAATTAAAGTGAAATGATTCATTAAAAATGATTATAAAAATAATATATGGTTAATTACATATTTCAATGTAATTAACCATATATTATTTTTAATTGATTCAACGTTGTAACACACATTGACCAAGTTCTTAAAACATTGTTTCTAGATTTTGTTTTTATAAACTTATACTTAGACTTGTCATTTTTGGATAATATATCCTATATTTTTTATTCTATATCTACAAGTTTGGGCTTGAGCGCGCTAATAAGTATAAAAGTGGAGTTGATTTTTAATTTTAAACTTAGCTAGTTATTTTCTTGTTGCCATTAATCAATATACAATTAATTGATTCTAAAATCAAGTTTTTTTATTTAATTTTAACTTCTAAGTGAATTTTTATATAAAAACGTTTTATCTTTATTCGATTTGTAGAACGGTATAAAAAGAACAAATCCGTTATGCGTAAGTATGTAAAAAATTATTTAAAAAATATGTTTTATCACTTTTTTCTCTGTTCATTTAATACAGTTTAAGTTGTATCCTTGACAAGAGACCGTTTAGCCACCATGTGACTTGTTTGAAGTTTAGTCAAGTCACATGGGTAATCAAATTTACTGGAAATAGTTTAAACATCATTTGGTTTTAAATTGTGATTGGAATTTTACAACGAACGGTTGGTTTCGGTTTGTTGTCAAGTTTAAGGGATGTTTTGTTTTTAATTTGTAAGTAAGTTTTTTTATGGTTTGTATGATTTCGTTTGCAAGTTTTTACGGTTCAAATGAAACCCTTAGACAAAACAAGTGTGCTTTTACCTTAGTAAACTTTGGATTTTCATCAAACTCAACTGCGTCATTAATTAAATGATAAAATATGTTTGACCTACTGAGGTGTTAAAAAATAGGAGGTAGGTACCTATAATATTATTCTTAGCAGGGGCACACGCTTACATTGGTATCCGACAACTAAGTAAGTGCCAACTTAACTAGGTAGTTACATGGGTTACACAAGATTTAGCAATTTTCCTTTTATGCGCTATTTTTACCACAACAATAAACATTATATTATTTTGTTAATTTGACTCGAACACTTGGGCACAAAGTACTTTTTTGAAAAATATTTTGAGAGTCTTATTACCATTGTTTGAGTGTTAAACGAAACGCGCCAGACAAAAATAATAATAATAATATACTGACTCATTGAAACAAGAGATTTTCGTTTTGTTGATAAATCGGCCAGTGGTTTAGGTACACTAGAGATGTTTATTATTCCAGCAGGCAGTAATAATATAACCCACGCTGTATTTTACATAACAAAATGACTTTTCATTACTTTTGGTGTGTGTGTTTTGTAAAGAATTATTCATTATTTTCACAGTTGACAAACGTTACGCAATTTCGTTTCAATAATATATTTTTGTCAGTTTTCGGTAATGCCATTCAAAAACTTTTACAATAGCGTTAAATGTAATATAAAGTATACAACATTATACAAAGCGAGGACCCGAATAGGATAACCATCGTTTGGTTTGAATTGAAATTGTTTTGTAACGTTTTCCGAATAATTTCGAAACGCATTCGTGAAAAAAAAATACTAACAATCGCTTTAACTCAACGTGCAAAAATATATGTATCGGATAAAATATATTTAAATATTTGAAATTCACTAAATACTCAGTCATTACTTTTTTGTTCAAAACGGTATGGTATTTTTTTAACGAGCCTTTATAAGCTCATAATTATTTTGAGTCACACGTTTTAATAATCCCCTAACGGTTTAATGTTTAGGCAACTCAATAAACACGGCAAAGGCTTGCTATTAACACATTTTTAATAAAATCAATACCGTTCCTTTTAAAGGTTGTAAATAATAATAATAATAAAAAAGTCCCGTTATTTTCGCTTCACTCGAAATCCCATCGCTTTACAGTCTTATTCAAACACTTCAAGTTTGTATAATTTTAATACAATAATAATTGGGCCCTAATTAACCATATAACTTAGTTTCGCTTCGGTGATTTTGCTTTAAGTGTTTTAAAATTTATCTCATTGAGCTTGAGCTTACTTACTTTCTTCCGCATTTGCTTAATTATTGAAAACAAAAAAAAATGTATAAGACATAAAATGTTGAGCTCTTAAATATTTTTGTAAAATTAAAATACACTTTTTTTTTATTTTGTAAACAAAAAAAAAATGGTTTTTATTGCTTTTAACACGGTTGAAAACTACGATACATTTAACAATAACATGATATACAATTACTAACCACAACAGGTTAAATAAAAAAAAAAAACAAAGTGATAAAAAAATGTTTGGCTGGGCTCAATAACATAGGTTTTTTGTACACTGATATTTTTATTTTCTCGAAAAAAAAGGCAAGTAGTATATAATTATATACTACTAAGGCAACATTAGGTAATATATTTCCTGGTCTTTTTAATGCTATTAAATTAATACAGATATATATAATACAGGTACACAGGTAACTCTGCAATGTAGGTATACGTTTATAGATTTTTTAGTGTTAAGAAAACCACATTAAGGGCCGTATTTATAGTCAATTCTTAAGAATAAGCATTGCTTAATAACTGACTATAAATACGGCCCTAATTAAAAGTCTATAAAACAAGTAGTTTTGATCTTTGACTTGAATTTTTTTTTTTTATAAATTTATCATCAAGCATTGTAGCAAGTACGTTTTTATTATATTATTATTAGAATTTGTCGGAACAATAGTTTCAATCACTTTCTTCGCTTTCTTTAAACGGTGACGTGCCGAGTATAGCGTTATTCCAAGGCGACTTTC